ATGCATCACGTGGATGCTAGAGGATGATTATTTACACAAATCGTTACATACAGAAAAAATATTAATGTAAATTCAACTTAATAATTTGTAATCCATCAGACATTAATTTCTGAAAGACTTAAAAACATTTGAAAAGGAATACGTGTAAATTACTGAAGCATTCTTCAGTAGTATTTACCAAGTGTTGTGGTAGAGGAGCAAACTTAATAACAGATGGCCTAGTTGTGGTCATTTCGAGGTGTGGACTATAGGAGTAGAGATCAATTACTATATTGTATTACATTCATATATACACATTTAAAATCTGTGGAAAGTACCGTTTCTTTGGAATGTTGTCATCCATTGCAAGACTCCTCTTGTATGGTTTAATGTGGTCGACACTGACTTTTTTCTTCAGTGAAGTTCCCTCCCGATTTGCCAGACTAACATTTTTCCCCAGGACTTCTTTTACTGTATAGGGCCCTGTGAAGTCTGGTTCAAGACGACCTACAATTTCAAAATCAGAATAATACATGTGAACCATTTTGTTCACTTTCCATGAAATGTAAATCATGGTGTTAAGACCAAACAAACGCTTACCCCCTTTTCTTCCCCGCTTTCGCATATTAAAGAGTAGCACCTCTTGTCCCTCGGTGTACTGCAGACCCTTGTATTTTTCAAGTGTTTTTTTCTCATAAGCCAATTTTTGTTTGTTTTGTGCCACAGACATGTTCTCTGTTGCACTCTTTGTATTTTGATCCATTTTTTCCTGTCTACCTTTCTTGAATTTGTTGATGTCATCCTCATCTGGAAGCACTATAGAAAGCTAAAAAAATTACTGTTACTGTAGGTGATCTGTGTGCAAACACCAACGATTTGCAATATCAAGCTTACAGGAAAATCTACAGGCACCTCTGAGGGGAACACAGCCTCCCTTCCATACATGAGCTGGAACGGCGTGTGTTTTGTCGAGGTGTGCACTTTGGACCTTAAGGAGAACAGGGTGGCATCCAGGAACGTGTCCCAGTTGTTCTGCTGGTCATTGACCAACTTCATTACAGCTCTGAAAAACACCATTCAGAACATTAAGAGGGGGAAAAATATTAAAATACATAATGTTAATCATCTAATCAAATCAATCGCCCTAAATCACTACAGTGGTTGTCTCAAAGGGACGTGAAGTATTTAAGTGATATTGTACAACGGTCAGTGTCTTGCCTCTTGATGTTGTGGTTAGTCTTTTCATCAAGTCCATTTGTCTGTGGGTGATAGGCAGCAGTGACGCTTCTCTCAATGCCCAGCAGAGAACAAAGAGTGTCATTGAGCTAAAAACAATTATTTATTGAAAGACATTGGCAGAACACACATATAAAAGAAGAATTACAAATAATGCACCTCATTCACAAATTCCCGCCCTTGATCTGACAGGATACGTTTTGGGCATCCATGCCTGTATATAATTGAGCACAGTCTTTGCCCAACCTCAGCTGCAGTCTTTGTTCTTAATGGGAAAGCCTCAACCCATTTGGAAAAGTAGTCCGTTGCAGTGAAGATGTACTGGTAGCCATCCACAGTTTTAGGGAACGGCCCTGTCAGGTCAATCCCCAAAAGCTCCCAAACAGCAGACACCTAGAAATGCAATATCATTTGTTTTTATTAAGGTGTGTCAGCAATTAAATAATGGCAAAATGTAAATTTACCTTAATGCTTTGAAGGGGCACAACATAAGACAGAGGCTTTCCCTCACGCTGGCATTGGTCACATTCAGAAACCTGAAGAAAACAATTCAAATAAATGATGCATGCATGCATTTGAAATGTGAAAAACATACCCATTTGTCAATCTGCACAGTCATGCCATTCCAGTAAAATCTGGAGCAGATTGAATGTCGCGTCTTTATTGTCCCAGTATGGCCACCCATCGGAGCTGCATGAAACTCCTGAAACAGCTTCCAGGCCTCGTGTAAGGTTTTGATGGCCCTTCTATTCTGGTAGAACAGCTCACCATCTACAAGAAACATTCAACATATAAAAAAACAAGAACAATGTGATATATTGGAAAAAATACATTACTTTTTAGTGTAAATTTCTGGGAATACTTCTTCAGACTTGCTCTCTGAACTTTTCCCATTCCTTCAGGATACCCATTTTCTGTGAGGAGCAGAAAAATCTCATCCCATTTATGCTCCATTATTAAACGGCAGACAAAAATCGTGGTCAAATGGACAGGCAAAAAGACAAAAATTGAAGAATCAATTGGCAGACAAATCAGAAGGAATGAGGCAAAAATCGTGGTCGGACGGGCAGGCAAATAGTCAAAAATCAAAGTATCAATCAAAAATAGAAGAGGAAGGAAATATATTGAGAGGAGAGAAAGAAAGATGGAGGTGCAAACAGGGAAATGGACAAGAAAATGAGAGTAAGACAAGAAAGGAGATGCAGGAGAAGGACAAGAAGAGTATGGTGCAATAAAGGGAGGTCAAAAAAATGGATGAGAATCAAGCAGTGCAAAAGGAGAATAGGGCTCTGTGGAGAAAAAGAGAAGACATTAATTAATTTTAATATAATTATTACATTACTTCCAAAGAATAACAAACAACATACAATTAAAAATCATTGATATTTCTTTAAACCATGAACAAATACATACACAATGTACATTAATAGATAAAATACTATACTTTGGATTAGGATTAGTAACGAGGTGACATTCATTTGAAGCATCATACAGATATGCAATAGTACATTTAATATTACGTTCATATATTACCATTTTTATACAATTTTGCTCGCTCCAAATTTTACCTAGACAGATGCGGTATGGATATCCCTTTGAATGTAATTTCTTTTTCGAACACAGGATTTTGGTAGAAAGTGGAAAAAGAAAATAGTATTCTTTGGTTGCCCTCTCATTAGCGCGTGCTAGTTACAAGTTTGAGCGTGTTTTTCAGAAGCGTTTCCCTCGTATTTTAATGCTAATACACCCGCTAATTACAAGCTTCCCTGAATATTTGACTCCAAAAACCACTGACACATATTGAAAACCAATCATATTCGGTAGCATAATAACCAGGTTAACTAGTACAGCATATGTGTCTATCGGGCATAGTGTTAGCTAACGCGAGTTTACCCCAATTTTTTTACTTGCAGTTATGCAGTTATGTGACAATGGAAGCACGATTTTGATGCAAGAACGTTAAATAGTTAAAATATATCATCAATTTACACAGAGACAAATACTCACGTGTGTTTCAGACTTCGGCGAAGCAGAAACAGCCAGATAGCTGATGCGCATGCGCTTAAACCATAGCAAGACGAAGAAACAGACTTTTTTTTTTTGGCCATCAGCAGCATTACGTAATGGTTACAGGAGCAGTTGACCACTTAAATCAAACTTTACACGAAACGTTGACTCCTAAAACCCCCATATAACAACCTAGAACCATCAACATCTCGCCTCAAATTGCATTAAAAGTGACATTCGCGTCTTAATTCGTTCGTATTTTGCTTTTTAAAGCAATTCACAGAGTTTATGTCCGCCATCTTGGCTGCCGTGAGAAGCGCATGCGCAGGTTTGCATTACATCATAAACAGCTGAGACAGATCATCTCGACGAACAGACCAAATCGACAGAACACCGGCGTCAGTTGAAGCGCGTCAAAAGCTTTTAGAAGCTTTTGGTCTGAACGCGCCTTTACGCTCTTAGCGTCTCTCTCGCTCTTTGCGTCTCTCTCTCTCTCCCTTCCTCCTCCCGTCTCTCGCACCTGTGCTTCACAAAGACTTGGTTTGATGCGGAGCGGAGAGCCAGCATCTAGATTTGTTGTGGGATTTTTAATACTATGCTGGTTCTCTCATCTTTACAGTATATCATGTTTGTGGACGTTTTTGCATTGATGATTTAATGCTATTTTATTAGAATGATGATGGTAAATCTGACTGTTAAAGTCAGTGCCTCCCCAATCACAAACCTCACAGCACGTCCCTGTGTGCGCCCTATCCTCTGCTCTGTCTGTGCCGTTGCTCGCCTAGGTACAGAACACAGTAGGGATTGCTTGGTTTTAAGAACTGGGCAAAAGCGTTGACTGTGACCAAGCTCATTACAATTGTAGCACCTAAAATCTTGTTGTGGTGGTCTAAAGGGCTCTTTAACTGGACGTGACCGGTGCATAGGGGCATTTAGCCAACCGCTATTGGTTCTACTCTGGGATGGACCACTCCCATCATCCCCAAAGGACGTACGTGGCATGAGCTGGCGAGGTTCTTGGGCGTAGGACGTGGGTCTGCTCCCTTTCCGTGCCGATGTGAAGACCTCGACCAATCGTGCAGCTTCCTCTGCTGTGTTGGGATCGTGCTCCTTGATTCAGATCTCCAGCTCAGGACTGACCATATGTAGGAACTGTTCCAGGATTAGCTTTTCACACATCGCTTTGATTGTTGTCCTCTCCGGCTGAATCCATCTCATGAACAGCTCTTTGAGGCGGACATACAGCTCCTGCGGTGTCTCGTTCGGCTCAATCTTCAGGGATCTGAAGCGGCGGCGGTATGTTTCAGAAGTGATTTCATAATTTTCCAAGATGGCCTCCTTAACTTTCTCATAGTCCTCCGTGTCAATCATGTCCATCAAAACATAGGCTCTCCAGGCTTTGCCTGTTAGTAGTGGTACCAGGCGTAGAGCCAACTCTTCCTCTGGCCATCGGCACAACTGGGCCATTCTCTCAAACGTAGTGTAAGTAAGTAAGTAAGTTTTTATTTATATACCGCCTTTTCACTGCAGATCTGAGTCTCAAAGCGGTTTACAATTGTTAATTTTTGGGCATTTGTCTCTCACTCCACACAGATGGGAGCGGGGCCAGTACAGGAGGCGCATGCCAGAACTATTGTACATATTTTTAGTGGTAGGGGAAACCGGAGTACCCGGAGGAAACCTACGCAGACACGGGGAGAACATGCAAACTCCACTCAGAAAGGCCCTGGTCCGACCGGGATTCGAACCCAGGACCTTCTTGCTGAGAGGCGAGAGTGCTATCCACTCAGCCACCGTGCCGCCCTAGTGAGGAAGTGTTCATCTCCAGGACCAAGTGGGAGAAGCTTTGGTTCCCGGTATGGTCTGTGGGGGTAACGAGGTATGTCGTCATCATCCTCATCATCATTTGTTTGTGCCTCCAAGGTTCTTTGCCTTGCATCTATCTCGACTTGAACAGACCACGAGGTCGGTTCTGGATGTGCAGAACCCTCTGTCTGCATCCGCATTAGCTGCTGCTGAAGTTGCTGGACTTGATCCTGCTTAGCGTTCCAGCGTTGCTCCTGCCGGGCCCGCTCTTTCTCCACCATTTTGTCTCGAGTGTACTGGGATGACATCATAGACTTCATCATCCCAGCTATTTCCTCCATCTTGTCTTGTGGACCACTTGCCTGTGCCCCCTGTTGGTCAGCTGTTGTTAAGCCAGGACCGTCATCAGGCTCGTCAGGCGTTTTTCTTCCTCCTTGTCTTGTGTTCATTTTGTATCTTTAACTGCAGCGTGGGAAACACTTCTGACACCAAATGTGAGGCCGGTCGGCCGTGAGCGGGTCGGAGTGCAGTTAAAACAGTTAAAAACACAAAGAGGTCGCCGTGGTCCACATATTTTTACTTCTTTTTCTTGGCTTTTCAATAAAAATACAAACAAAAGGTGCAAACAGGCTTTAAAGTGCAGTCGTGCAAATTCTCAACTGCATTCTTCTTCTCCAGCAGCAGCGCCCAGACTGATGTTTCTGTGTCCTTTAATCTGGTGGAGATTGCTGGGTAAAACCAAGTTGTAAAAGCAGGGGTGTTAAAATATGCTTAGCTTTTATAAAACAACTTAAAACTCCATTTACAAAAGCCAAACCCATAACCCATCTAAAATACCCACCTACAATTTATACAAAAAGCCTAAAACCAACACCAAGTAATATTGAACCCTTAGTTTAGAATATGAATTCTAAATGCATTCAGCGAACGCACAGCTGTAACGTGGTACCGAGCGCGGTACCATAGACACGCGGAAAGAACCATAGACGCGTGTTCAGGACCATCCCCAGCTTGTTGCAAGTACGGGTCTTCCCAATGTCTCCAACCAAAGTGCAACCAAAACTCCCGAAATTAAAGCTCGGGTACGTAAATTTGCCCTTGCATTGACAATGCATATTGGTGGTACACAAAAGTAAAACGTTGTGAACAAATCAAACAGTACACCCCGAAAACAGGCCATCTTTTTTGTGCATACTCACAGCCCTGTGAGTTATTATTTGACTTTTTGGGCTGAGAATGGATATTTTTATCTTTTTTTCCGCACGGTTAGTGCCACTTTTTTTCACCATCCTTCAGTTGGTGAGTCCACAGGAGGTGAGTCCACAAAGTCGATTTTGAATAATATGTCTCAAAAGGGCCAAAATAGGATGTGGCTTCTCCATGTCTGTTTTTGATGAAGGAACAGAGCTGTAACAATGATAAGCACTCGCAAACGTCACATCATTGCATAATACGTAAACTGCAGCATAATAAGTAAACTGCAGCAAGACTCCTGGGGCCGTATTCCTAAAGATTCTGAGAGTCCTCTCAGAGAGCTCTTATCTTAACCTAAAAACTCCTAGCTAGGAGTCTTAGCTTAAAAGTTATTCCAGAACACTCTTAGAGAACTCTGAGCAAGGAATTGACAACAACTTTTATCTTAGTGAGGAGGCGTGGCCGACCCCGTTGCTAGGTATGAGTCATCATTTCAGACGCTGTGATTGGTTGATCCTAAAAGTTAGAACAAACATATTTTTGATGATAATAGGCAAAATAAGGGCCCTAAAATGGACAAACTCAATCATGGAATCTAATCTTAGAAACACTGTGTTATTGTAAATAATAACCAAAAGCTATAAAGTCAGATATATCAATGGTACATAAATACTGTGAATAGTAAAGTTAGACTTATACACCATCATCAGAGCTTGCTCAGCACCAATTTATCACACATAATACGTATATATCATGAGCACTTATAATTTTAATTTATATATATATATATATATATATTATATATATACATATAATTTTAAATATTACTCTATATATAATATATATGATAAAGAAAATTATTATTATAAATATTATATGGATAAATGATGATAATGATAACGTTAGGATTAGTAAAGGCTGTGATATGTATAGACTTATAAGGAAGTAAGGAAACAATATTAATATAAACATATTATACATACACTGTACAAATCAAGTACAAGGGAGCTTAAAAGTCTTATCCTCTCCCACTCCTTTTTGAGCTGGATTGTTGTTAATAAAACAAAACTGTATATTTGTACTTCCATTCTGTTGTTGTTTTGTTTGTTTTGTCCTTTTTTTCTTGTTTGCCATGGCTCAAAATAAAGTATTCATTCATTCGTACTGAATGTGTGACAATTTAGGACCACTTTTTCCTCTTTCAACTTTTACCATTTCTACTTACTTTTGTGTAACAAAGGTAAAATGGATGAGGTGTTATTGCTGACCAGCCAATAAGAAGCTGGTCACATGATTGACTTTTAAATATACCACAAACATGATTCCTGCTTGAATCTGTAGCGTTTCACTGATTCACTGTCATCCAGTGTATAGAATATTTCTCCTGTCTCCACCGTCCACCATTTTGTGCTCTTAGGGAACTTTTAAGTCGCTAAAAGTCCTCCTCTCAACTCTTAAGGGATCTCCCCTTAAGAGCACTCTTAAGAGCTAGGATTTTTTAGGAATAGCTTTTATCTTAACTAGGAGCTACTCCTCACTTTTAGGGGAAATTCTAAGAGTTGGTCAAGATTCTAAGAAAATTCTTAGAATTTGGCCACTAGGAGCAACTTTTAGCAGTAAGAATCTTTAGGAATACGGCCCCTGGTCTTTTAAACCCAACAAGCCTCGGTCCCCACATGCGGGTGACAGCAGCGTCTCAGAGTCGCTGACCTGAAAGACGATGTTAGACTAACACTGTTAAATCATTCAGGGAAACAGGGTCGATTAGAGCTGGGTTCATCTTTATTTGATATAAAGCCAGCAGCACCAGCAGTGATGCGGTCGCTGTATCGGGCCGTTGTGGTAAAGAGGGGGCATATTTCAAACATATGCACTAAAGACAACAGGATACAAATATATAAACAAAGTAGACACTTATGCCGCTTTTCCATAGTCACAGCACGGCCGAGTGTGGGTGTTTTTCCATTTAAAATGGTACCTCCAAGTTTCTCCTCAGCGTGGGAGGGCTTGTCAGACCACGTAATTTACGCGCAACGCATAACTAATATCATTGGTCTGATGCGTCACTTTTTGACATTTGAAATGAAATGTTTTTATTTCGAGGTCAATTCAAAACTTAGTTATTTAAAATAAATGTATATTGTAAATCTAAGTATCAACTCGAAAAAGGAGCGAGAAGAAAAGTAATATATATTAAAAATCATATGCCTAAACATTTATTTTGCCCTTGTGTTTTGATCAAAAATAAAACCTTTAAGAATTTAGCAAATATGCCTCCATCCTTGTTCATAAATTTACCACAATTATACGGATTTACTGACAAATACAGTGCCTTGCGAAAGTATTCGGCCCCCTTGAACCTTTCAACATTTCGCCACATTTCAGTCTTCAAACATAAAGATATAAAATTTAAATTTTTTGTTTATTGGATAATTTAAACTTTTTTAACAAATAAAAAACTGAAAAGTGGGGCGTGCAATATTATTCGGCCCCTTTACTTTCAGTGCAGCAAACTCACTCCAGAAGTTCAGTGAGGATCTTTGAATGATCCAATGTTGTCCTAAATGACTGATGATGATAAATAGAATGTGCCTGTGTGTAATCAAGTCTCCGTATAAATGCACCTGCTCTTGATAGTCTCAGGGTTCTGTTTAAAGCGCAGAGAGAACCATGAAGACAAAGGAACACACCAGACAGGTCCGAGATACTGTTGTGGAGAAGTTTAAAGCCGGATTTGGACACAAAAAGATTTCCCAAGCTTTAAACATCTCAAGGAGCACTGTGCAAGCAATTATATTGAAATGGAAGGAGTATCAGACCACTGCAAATCTACCAAGACCCGGCTGTCCCTCCAAACTTTCATCTCAAACAAGGAGAAGACTGATCAGAGATGCAGCAAAGAGGCCCATGATCACTCTGGATGAACTGCAGATAACTACAGCTGAGGTGGGAGAGTCTGTCCATAGGACAACAATCAGTCGTGTACTGCACAAATCTGGCCTTTATGGAAGAGTGGCCACTTCTCAAAGATATCCATAAAAAGTCTCTTAAAGTTTGCCACAATCCACCTGGGAGACACACCAAACATGTGGAAGAAGGTGCTCCGGTCAGATGAAACCAAAATCAAACTTTTTGGCCACAATGCAAAACGATATGTTTGGCATAAAAGCAACACAGCTCATCACCCTGAACACACCATCCCCACCTCAGCTGTAGTTATCTGCAGTTCATCCAGAGTGATCATGGGCCTCTAGACTGCATCTCTGATCAGTCTTCTCCTTGTTTGAGATGAAAGTTTGGAGGGACGGCCGAGTCTTCTTAGATTTGCAGTGGTCTGAAACTCCTTCCATTTCAATATAATTGCTTGCACAGTGCTCCCTGAGATGTTTAAAGCTTGGGAAATCTTTTTGTATCCAAATCCGGCTTTAAACTTCTCCACAACAGTATCTCGGTCCTGCCTGGTGTGTACCTTTGTCTTCATGGTTCTCTCTGCGCTTTAAACAGAACCCTGAGACTATCAAAGAGCAGGTGCATTTATACGGGGACTTGTTTACACACAGGCACATTCTATTTATCATCATTCATCATTTAGGACAACATTGGATCATTCAAAGATCCTCACTGAACTTCTGGAGTGAGTTTGCTGCACTGAAAGTAAAGGGGCCGAATAATATTGCACGCCCCACTTTTCAGTTTTTTATTTGTTAAAAAAGTTGAAATTATCCAACAAATTTCATTCCACTTCACGATTGTGTCCCACTTGTTGATTCATGACAAAAAAAATAAATTTTATATCTTTATGTTTGAAGCCTGAAATGTGGTGAAATGTTGAAAGGTTCAAGGGGGCCGAATACTTTCGCAAGGCACTGTATAATGTATGCTATGGAGGACCAAATCGGTCAAAATAATTAATAAATGAACAAATAAATAAATGTATCAATCTGCATATTATTATTAATATAAATGTATCATATTTTTTTATTCAAAACAATAGAATAATTAATAAAGCTTTATTATTTTCCATATGCATTAATTTCCTTAACCTCACTCAAAGGTTAAAATGAAAAAATGAAATATTATTATTTAACTGCAGTTTATCCCCCAAAGAAATAACTAATCCTCTTTATTTTCTTCTTGCATATATTTATTTTCTTCGTATCTTCATTTATTTCCTTTTTTATTGATGTTCTGTTTTATTATTTTAAAAAGCATTATTCTTTCCTTGTGTCTTGCAAAGAAATGCAAATGAAGGGGG